CCCTCTGTTGGCTATTAGAATATACAAGAGGTGGCCCCGCGATACTCGCGGGCGGGGGAGGCCCCAGCTTCAGCGCGAGGCCCGCGCGGCCAAGCCGCCGGGCCTCGGTGCTCCCCCCCGCCCCCAGCTTCAGCGCGAGGCCCGCCACAGCCAGGTCTTCTTTGGAACCACCTCCAAAGAAACACAAAAGCCAGCGCTCAGTATCGACAAATCCGACTCACTTGGAATTGATAGGGCCGGCTTAGAAGAAGCCAAAAGAACCAGTTCCAAAGTCTATTATTGAGGTCAGTGGGCATACTACCCCTTCTCCCAACAGCCAGTCTCCAGCACGGTCTCCATTGGCATATAACCTAGCTATTTAGGGCAACACCCCTTCAGAATATGTCACTATATCTCTGGCCCCACCTTCTCCATGGGCACCTCCCAGTCTGGGGCACCAATACTCATGTTGCCATCCAGCTCAGTGTTATAGATAATGGCCAGACCCTCCAGAACCAAAGATGGAACCGAGAGGTTCATGTAAGGTTGACGGAGAGACCATATACACCTACATATTGGACCCCCCATTCGGGGCCTGAGGTCTGTGGTTCTGAGGTGGAGGAGGAAGATTGCATGTCCATTGCCAGTTCCGGTGTAGCTTCGGAACCATTTCCTGACAATATAGTGGGAGATCATGACCCAGTGTCTCCAAGTGAAGACTTGTATCTCTACTCTGAGTGGATGGTTTGGATGGCACATTCTTTGGGCATCCAGGTCACTTCAGTGCACACTAGACCGAAGGACAAGATACTGGGGCAACTCTACCCTGACACACCCTTTCCACTCCTGGAAGGAATTCTAGCACTGGCAAGATCTGTTTGGGAAAAACCTTCTTCCATTCCCACCATATTTCATAAAGTCGAGAATATGTACAGGGTTCAGCAAGGAGACTGTCCCTTCTTTTTTACCCATCCTACTCCATCCTCATTGATAGCAGAGGAGATACAGGCTAAGCAAAGAGGGAGTGCACTTTCAACCCTAGCTAATAAGGAGGGCAGAAAGATCAATGCCTTGAGTTGCAAGACTTCCTCTTCATCATCTTTAAACCTCAGGCTAGCAAATTACCAAGCTATTATGGCAGCTTATCAGCTCTTTCTATGGAAGAAGATCACCCCTTATCTAGAACAACTTCCTGATGACAAGAAATCTTTGGCCACAGTTATCCAAACAGAAGTTCTTAGGCTATCTAAACAACAGTTGAATGCCAGCAGCCATGCAGCTGACGATTCAGTGCCCAGTATGGCCTCCTCCATAATTCTGAGGAGGCATGCCTGGCTATGATCAACACCTCACCTGCTGGAGACACATGCTCGTGTAGAGGAGTTACCTTTTGAAGACTCGTCCTTGTTCTCTTCTAAGTTTCTCCAATAGATTAAGAAAAATAGTCAGACAGCCTGGTCGTTTGGGATAGCCACACCCAAACCTCTTCCAACAGCCCCAAATACAATTCAAGATTCCAACCCTCTTACCAGGGTTTTCAGCTCCCATACCAACAGCAGCTCCCATATCAAAGATCTTCCTCTCAGCCTCCTCAACAAGCTTAGCTTAGATCTGGTTCGAGACCCAAGCCGGGTCCTGCTCAGCACTCTTCCAAAGACCCAATGAAGGCCTCCAGGTCTTCTTTCTGACTATCAACGGTTAGAATCACAGCCAACCCACTTTTCTCAGGGTGGTTTGTCCAAATTTTTGCCAGAATGGCTTAAAATTACTTCTGACTCCTGCCTCTTGACCATTATTGACCACCTGAATTTGCCCAGTTTCCACCATTAACAGCAGTTGTCCAGGCCATTGATAATATATTTCCTAAGTTGTTTTCAGAGTTGAATGCCCTATTAGAAAAGGGGGCAGCTCAGGGTTTAACTCCCAGTGATCCTTTGTTTAGTTATTATTCCACGTTTTTCCTAGTTAATAAAAAAAGTGCTTATCTCAGGAGACTGGTTTGCTGTCTTGAACCTCCAGGATGCATATTTTCACATTTCCATTCATCCTGAGGTAGGAAACATGTTTTAAATTTCAGGAAGTTCCATACAAGTACACGATCCTCCCTTTTGGTTTGGCCATTGCACCTCAAGTTTTTACTAAGTGTATGGCAGTAGTGGTCACTCACTTAAGGTCTCAGAGATGCTTCATGTTCCCTTTTTTGGACGATTGGTTATTTACTGCCCCTTCTAAGCTTGAGTTACAGACACAATTGTCATTAGCCCTAGAGACATGCCAGAGGGTAGTTTTACAAATTAACTGGAAGAAATCAAACCTGGTTCCCTCTTAGCAAGCATCTTTTATTGGAGTTTGGTTAGACACCACTGCAGCACGAGTTTTCTTGCCGTGGGACAAGGCCTTGTCCATCAAAAGTCTGGCCAACCAGTTTATCTCAAATCGATTTCAAATGGCTATTAATATTCAGAGATACTTAGGCTGAATGGCCTCTGCCACCTTTGTGGTTCTCTTTGCCCGTCTCAGGATTTAGTCTCTACAGAATTGGTTTATACAGATTTTTAACTATGCTGTTCATTCTCAGAACCAGCATTTCTCCATTCTGACGGTGGTGATAAGACAGTTATGATAGTGGACCACTGATTCTAACCTGCTACCTGGTGTTCCCTTGGGGTTCCTTTCCCCCACAAATCACAGTAACAACAGATGCTTCCCTTTCAGGTTGGGGTACTCATTGTGGGAACAGGTATGTCAGAGACACATGGTCTGATACTGAGAGAGGTCTACATAGTAATCTCTTGAAACTGAGAACTATTAGTTTTGCCCTTAAATCCTTTGCAGCTCTTCTACATGGGAGGGTGGTCCCAATTCAGACAGACAACACCACAGCCATGTTTTATATCAACAAGCAGGGGTTGTTCCCTCCCTTTATGCCAAGAGTCCACTGCCATTTGGGAATGGGCAGTTACGAACCAAACATCCCCTCAGGCCATCCACATTGCTGGTTCAGAGAATATCACAGCAGACTTTCTCAGCAGATTAGGGGAATCCACGCACAAATGGTCCATACACCAGGATTACATCTTCTCCATCTTCGCACAGTGGGGCTCCCCAATGGCTGACCTTTTTGCCACAGGACTCAACACCAAAGCCCACCTCTTTTACTCAAGAGCAGGTCTAGATCCACTGTCCCTAGGAGATACCTTTCAACTAGTTTGGAATCAGGACTTATTTTCCACCTTCCCTCCCATTCCTTTGATAGGGAGAGTAGTGGCCAAATTAGTCAAAGACAACTCCCTCTGTATCTTCTGGCTGAGACAGATTTGGTTCCAGGTCCTACTACACAGGTCCAAGGGCATATTTATCCATCTACCCCAGGTTCCAGACCTATTGAGTGTATAGGGTACTTCCCACCTAGAGATGCAGAATCTGCACCAGACTGCCTGGTGTTGGATCCCCAGGCATTCGAAATAACTCCACGTTTGATTCAAAGCAAGATTTATTTCAAAGCGATGGTTCAGACAGGAACAAGGACATTGTTAGGAATGACTACCAATACACAGGTATAGCATAATAAAGAGATTTGAACCATGTTGGGCCAATGAGGCCAGTTCCTGCTGGCGGGAAGAGAACTCGTAAACGCGCGCCTATTCCATGGGAACGTAACAGTTCAGTACCATCAACACAGGTTCAGTTCACAGGGTAGATAACCATAACAAGCTTAGCGAAGCTCCGACTCCCACCACCAGCTGCATGACCTTGGCCAGTTCCGCAAAAGACAGAGAAGCATAATGAAACTACAGAAACCCGGGGGGGGGGAGAGCACAAGACATGTGCAGCAGGTAACATCAGATACAATGGCAGCTAGCTGACATACTGCCCCCTCAAAAATACACATTATCCACCCCCTCCCGGATTCGGCGGGAGACCTCCCGGTTTGCCCGGGAACTTTTTGTGAAACTCTCTGAGCATGTAAGGGGCCCGAATATCCCCTTCTTCCACCCATTCTTGGTGCTGGGGTCCGAAGTCCACCCACTGGATGAGATACCATAATTTACCACGTTTAATTCTGGAATCTAGGATGTCAGCGATTTCGAAATGCTCCTCCCCATCGAGCATGATAGGAGGAGGGGGGTCACGCGCAAGCCTCCATTTACCTTGGCCTGTGTCCTTCAAAAGACTCATGTGAAACACAGAATGTAAAGAC